CTCTCTCTCTCTCTCTCTCTCTCTCTCTCTCTCTCTGTCTCTCTCCCCATATGTGTGTGTGTTTATGTATGTATACATTTGTGTGTACATATATACACACATACACATTATACATACAAACATGTATGTGAATTTCTCTGAAACATTTGAAAGAGGTTGCATACATCATACCCCTTTACCCCTTAGTACGTCAATGTAGATTTCCTAAGAACAAAGCTTTATACAACCACATGCAGGGAATTGAATGTCAGCGTGACACTCGGATCAGACTGACAGCCTGTGTTGTAGTTTGGCCAGTTGCCCCGACTGCACCTTACACACTTGTCCAGCACAAGAGCCAGTCCAGGATCATGTGACATATTTATTTTGTTTTTTGTGTTTTTTTTTTTAGCTGAGCCATCCTGCCACCTGTTGGCAGCTCAGCTGGGGCCGGACATCGAACCGCTGTTGCTCAGAGCTCGCACTCTTGAGTGAGCTCTAAACCAACTGAACCACTCGGCCAGCCCCATGTGATGTATTTAGTTGTCATATCTCGGGTCTTGTTTAAACTGAAACAGTTCCTTCGGTTTGCATTTTTGTTCATGACCTTGACGTTTTTTGAGAATACAGGTCATTTTCATAGAATATCCCTCAATTTGAGGTTTTCTGATATTTCCTCATAGTTAGATTAAGGTATGCTTGAATTTAGTCTGGAATACTGTGTAAATTGTTCTATCCAAAAACACGTGGTCTCCATTTCCCCCACCACCACCACCCCCATGACGTCAGGTTGGATCAGTTAGTTAAGATGTTGTCTGGTTTCTTGACTGCGTGGTTATCATTTCCCTTCTGTAAGAAGCGACTGGAGACTGTGACTGTCCTGTCCTGCCTCCGCGTCTCCCCTCACTGATGTACCTGCCTGAATTCGGTTGTACTGTGATGGTCACAAGATGATCATTGTCTAACTCCACCTTTTCTTCTGTGCTTAATAGTAAGGATTCTGTTATAATCAAGTCTGTTCTCATCTATCTGCCTGTCAGCTCTTTATTATGTGTACGAATTGATGGATTCTTACTTAATGGGTTGTAATCTATTTCTGTCCATATGTATTGATAGTTTAAATAAACCTATATATTTTAAACTAAAGTATTAATTAACATTTAAAAAATGTGGGAACGATAAACTTGGAACGCCGCTATCAGAAACTTTACTGTAACTCGTTAATTGGAAATAATTCTGATGAATTTTCCCTTTGCCTCTTGCTTTCCGTTTGTTTCCGCTGCTTCCCCCTGAAGTCTCCTTCCAAATGGTTTTGGAAACTGGTTCCAGTAAGTTTGCTCAGCTACTTCAGTTTTCTCTCCAGAACTGTAATCATAAGACGGTATTGTTTCTGTCTTGCTGGTATAGTCATTTCATGTAATTCTGTTGGTCGCTGCATAGAGATTGGATTTTAAGGTATTTGATCATAATGTACAATAGAAAGATAAGAAAATCTGGCCAAGATTTGGGTTAGAAGCTTTAAAAATAATTTAAAGCATAAGCATCCTTTTGATAACTTTGTCGATATTCACAGACCATCAGTAACTAGCTTAAAAAAAGTATGATTATAGATTCTCATTAGTTTTAATAATTTTAGTAAAAGCGAATATGAGTTGCATGTGTAAATTATTTGTATTTTTAAATTATCTTTTTGAAAGAGTCATTTTCTTTTCAGCCTGAATTGTAGGGGACACTGTGTATGATAAAAAAGGGACGGATTCTGTGTATCTTTACCAGTATTGGACATAAACAATATCCCATTCTTATTAGACTTGAATTGTTGATCTTTCAGGATTAAATCTCAGGGTGAGACCACTTAAGAAGTATTTTACACCCTCAGAAATAAAAATAGTACTTAGAAATACACCATAATGTTGAAAGAAAGTGTGCTGCCCCTTTTAAATGCCAAGTATCTCAGCTCATAGGAAGAACAGGGACTGTCTCCATGCAGTGAGTTGATACAGCACATAGCACGTCCAGGTCTAAAAGACGGTAGCTTCCTGAGCTGCAGATGAACTTGCCGGAGCCGCACATGACTTCACGACGAAAGCTAGGCTACCTGAGGCAGCCGCTGCTCAGCAGTCTCTGTCTGTCCTGAGCCGTAGACATTTACTGCTAATGCTCTGTAAGGGGGAGTGGATGTGTGTGTGTGTGTGTGTGTGTGTGTGTGTGTGCGCGCGCGCGCGCGCACGCTTTGTGCAAAGAGCTACTTGGCAGAGAGCAATAAAACAAGCCCCACAATTCAGTTCTTCTTCCCATGGATGCTCAGCTCAGTCCAGTGCAGCCTGGAGGCTGAAAACAGGCTAGTCCCAGAGATCTGGGGAATCTGAGGCCAAACCCAGCTCATTTGGAGGATTTCCAAGGACTGCTTTGTTTCTTGAAGAAAGTAGTGTGAGGACCTAGAACTGTGCTCACAATGCGAGAGGGAGCCGGAGGCCGGCCTGTTCCTCGGGTCCTCTCTCCTTCCCTCCCCTCTCTTCTCCCCTTTTTTATGGTTGGTTTTTTAACTCCTAGCAACAAAGTGAGGACGTTTTCTAAGGACTATGTAAAAATAATCAAAGAATTTATGTAGTGCATGTATGTCATTTTTTTCTGAATATAGGTACTCTGAGTTTGAATCATATCATTAAATATAGATGTCTAGCCTGCACCAGTTAATAAGAGCGAGCTCCTCTGAAAATCTTCAAGAGGGAAACCTTCCATGGTTCTTGTTCTGGGGTAGCCAGTGAGAGAGAAACGGGGGTGGCTGCCTCTTTCTTCCTGAAGGCATGTGCTTTTCCGAGGGTACTGTGGACAGGCAATCTAGCTTCACCACCAAGCACTAAACGTTCATCCTTTTTCTATTTTTATTCTCACGAAAGTATTTTATTTCATAATTACATTTTAAAATGTAGGGATGACCAGTTTAGATGGAGTTAAAAGAAAAATCAGTTTTGATTAAAAAAAACTATTTAAAAAATAGTAACCAATGTAATCGTACATTTTGCTGATAAAATACTTCAGTATGCATCGTCATACACCTCCAGCGTTCCTTTCTCGGCTTTAGGAGAGCTAACAGCCAGTAACAGCTGCCCTGCAGTCTTTGCTGCTGTGTGCCCAGCGGTGTGCATAGCACTTTATGTCCGGCATCTTGTTACTGTTGTTCCCGTTTCACAGACGGGGAAACTGAGAAATGAGAGCATAAGGAACTTGTCTACGATCACAGACCTAGTAAGTGGCAGCGCCAGGATTGGAACTGGGGTCATCTGTCCTGAGAGCTTGTTCTCTTAACCACTAAGTTTTACAGCGTGCCTCATTTTTAAAGCACTGTCTTATAAATTTTTATCCAGTCATACTGAGCAATCTTTAAAAACTCAAAATCGCCCCTGTGTTTCTGAGGGGGAGCCGAAACCCTTATACGTGCCCTGTTACTGGTCAGTGAAACCTCAGCTGGGAGGGTTTTTCAGTTTCAGAGTTGTCACACTTGATTTGCGTTGTCGTAGCATTCAGATGAGAAGCCAGAATGTCGTGGGGGTGTTAGTCCAGTTCCTCGGAGTGGTGTTTCTAATCCCCGAATTTCCTGTAAGGGTGGTCTTGGATCCTTCTCCCCGACCCGGTTTTTGTAAGTCGGGTGTGCTTTCTGCCCCAGTAGGACCCTCGCTGTTCCCTTGGAGAGCTGGTGGTCCAGAGCAGGCCACCATTAACGTAGATGAACTGTGCACAGAGGGCAGAGCTGATGGTTTGGGTACAGAGTGCTCAAGACCCTATCGTGATGCTTCTTTATTTAAATATTTGGGCTGTGTGTCATTTCATGTAAATTAGCAGGTAATGTTGTAGTAAGTGCTTGCTTCAATGTGAGAGTGCTGCCGCCATGGTTTTCACTTTGGTCAAGTGGTGTCTGGCATTATTTAGAGAAGAGGGATGTTGGTGAGTAGTTCTCATTTCTGTGCGCATATTTTATTAGTGATCCATTAGACCAGAGTACTGGAGTTTTCCTGCATGGTGCTTAGCGCTTCTTTATTTTCACCTCTCTTTTTTTCATATCGTAGGCTCGTTATAGGAAAGAGCAGACACTGCTTAAGCAGCTGCCGTGCATCCCGGTGGTGGAGAACCTGCTGAAAGATGCCACAGACGGCTGTGCTTTAGCTGCCCTCATCCACTTTTACTGTCCTGGGGTTGTCAGGTTAGAGGGTAAGTGTTCCAGGGAAAGACTTCCGAACCGCTGGTAGGTGGTAACAAACGTTTAAGACAATGTTTAATAAATACTAAAGGCTTTCTTAAAAAGGACAGTTCTGTGTAATCCTAAGGAGGATAGTTGAGTGAGGTAGTGCTTGGTTGCTCAGCCTCTCTGTGTAATGACCGCCATCTTTCTCTGTGTGTTTGTTAAAACAGACCCCACTGAATCGCGTATTTGTACTGTCGCTGGTTATGAAATGGGTGTGCAATGTATATATTATAGAAATTAACCCAAATCATCACCTTGCTCTTTTCCTGTTTGAAGATATTTGTTTGAAAGAAACCATGTCTTTGGCTGACAGCCTGTATAACCTGCAGCTGATTCAAGAATTTTGCCAAGAATATCTGAACCAGTGTTGCCATTTTACCCTGGAAGATATGCTGTATGCTTCCTCGTCCATAAAGGTACAGTCAATAATTCTCCTTCCCTTTGTCTGGCTTAATACATACAACTAGATACATAAATGGCCAGCCACTTTAAGCTTCAATGAACTGTAACATCAGTCAAAAGAGCTTTTTAAAAAATAGCTTTTGATTTTTCTGCTTATTTTATGTTTTTGGTTTGTTTGTTTTTTTAAATACACTGTTAGCCACAGGTTTCTTTTACAGTGTAAAGCTGAAGTCATAGTACAAAGTAGATCTGTTGTCCTAATGTTAGCAAAACAGGCCAGACCATTGAATGTTGTGCGTCTCAGATGCTAACCCACAGCCATGGGGGCGTGAAGCAGCCACTGGTCCGTCACCTGCCGCTTCCAGCCTCTCTGTGGACCAGGTCTGGGCAGAGGAGCCCTCAGGTCCCAGAACCTGACACAGAGCTGGGGAAGCGACCACTACGATCGTCTGGAAATGGGCCCATTGGGGAGGACCAGCATCTCAGAGCTGATGGCTCGTGGTGGCTCCCTTCGCAGCCTTCTCCATTTCATAAATGGTGCTGTCACTTGCTGAGACAGAAACCTGAGACGCCCTTAACTCCCCCCTTTCCCTCACCTCCTCCATACACCATAGCCTCCTGGAGCTGTCGAGTAAGAGGTGAGTGTCTGAAAGCCGCCACCTCAGATACGAGAAAACTGAGAAAGCGTGGACCGCCCGAGGATTGTTCATAGTTAGTTGGTAGGAGGGAGCCAGGCATTGAAAAACAGCCACATTTCCCATGGTAATTGTGAAAACTGGAATTTAATATAAGATCTCCCTTATCAAATATTAATCAATTTGATAGTAACAATTTTATTAGATGCCAAATACCCAGAATTTAAAAGGCATGATTTTTTTTTTTTAAGATTTATTGGGGAATTGGGGGGAGGGGAACAGCGTTGGGGAATCGGGGAAAGGGAACAGACAGGTACACAAATTGCTGTTTTGCTCTTAAGTCTAGTTGTGGAGGACATCGCTTCACTGGCCCATGTTGGTATGATCATTGTGCTCTTCCCCGGCGAGGCAGATCGGTCGCCTGTCATTGGTCGGCCGCTCACTGCGGCTCACAGCAGCTCTCCCCAGCTGCTGGCCACTCACAGCAGCCCAACTCCAGGTCGAGCTGTTATTCACCATCTTCGCTGTAGAGGGCACAGCATCACTGGCCCTTAATGTGGGATCCGAGCCTCAGCCCTGCTGCTCAGAGCTGGTGCTCCCAAGCGAGCTCTTAACCAGCTTAGCCACTCGGCCGCCCCAGGCATGATTTATTTTAAATAGTTATAAAAACAGATTTTCTGTAGTCTTTAAATTTACCGGATGCCTACAATTAAAATAATTCTTCATGTTTATAGCTTTTATGATACATGCCTTTAAAGATACAAGCTTGTAGAAGAAATGGGCTCTTGAGGACCCTCTTAATCCTTACTGTTAATTTTAAGCCATTTAAAAAATTACATTTTCAAATAAAAATGAAAGTCAAATAGCATTATTGACATCCTTATTAGTAACTTTTAAAAGTTAGATACATTAAATTGTATAAATGTTTGCAACTTTTAAAAAACTAAATAGGTACATTAAACTGTATAAATAATGTTTTTGTACATTTCAAAATTATTAAGAATTAGCCATAACAACCTAGAGTCTCTGTGCTACTTAGCGCTTGTTTTACTGTTGAGTTCAACATTATCCAGCACATAGATTTAATATTTTTAACTAGACACCTGTTTGCATTTTGGAGAAATTTTTAGGGATCCAGAAAGAACTTAATTATTCTTTTTTAACGTGATGATCTCTCTTCCTCGTGTCAGAGGCTGTTTGTATGTTGGCTTTGGAAGAAGAACGCCTGATACATTGTCTCCGAGTCACACAGTTAGTGGTGGCCGTGCCTGCCAGGCAGGTCGCACCAGCACTCTGGAACTATAGAGAATTAGAATAGTTGTAAATTTTACCTACAGATGCTAATATTCCATCTTAGTTTAATAGCTTGTAGTGGATGTACTCCAGAGATGGGTGAATGACATTTAATCCATGTTGTAATTGGTAATTATCACTACTGTGGGGCCCAGTCTTACCTAACTGTTCTTTTCGTTTCTTGACTCTCTTACACAGAGTAATTATCTGGTGTTCATGGCGGAGCTCTTCTGGTGGTTTGAAGTTGTGAAGCCGTCATTTGTGCAGCCTCGTGTTGTTTGTCCACAAGGAGGTGACCAGTCTTTTAAATTTAAGTGTTTCTACAGCCGGCATGGAGAGTTTCGGCAGCCTTTTAGAGGGAAGCCTGTCGTTGTTTCATATGGCAGCTAGTAGCCTTGATAAATTCCGAATATTTCAATATTTAAACTCACCAAATTCTCTGTGAGAAACAGATGACATAGGACAGAAGAAGAAAATGGAGAGGGTGGCTATGAATTTGAAACCTTATATTGTGGAACTTTTAGCTTGAACTGTTGGTTCACTTTTTCTCTGCATCTTCTACCCCCATCCCTACCTTTTATTCCCTGTTAGATTCTGAGTTTTTAACATTGTCACCAAGAATCCACTCAGATTATGGCTTGGTTTTATTTAATCTGTCATTTGAATATGCCATTAAAGTATATTAAAAGACATATATGTGTGTGTGTACACATGTACATGTATTTGTATATGTATATATGCATGCATATATGTTTTTAAACGTAATAGGTTTTGTGACTATTATGGTATTGTGATCTATTGATTGTACATAATAAGAAAACTAATAATAAAGGGGTTATTATAAAGATCCCTAGAAATATAGAACAAAAATCTTCCTGCAGTTTCTCTAAAGCAAAACAAGTTTTCCACTGCCTTTCATTATAAGACCGAGGTTTATTTCTATGGGGGAGAATGATCTTAAGCTGCGAGGTTGGCCCCGCAAACGCTCTTCCAGCATAACTCTGGGACCAGCTCTCCCCACTGCCAGTGGCTGTCCCGCCCAACACAAAACCTGGTTACCATGCAGCCCAATGCTTAGCTGCTTTCCTTGGCTCCATATTTTAGTATTTTTCTCAGCAGTACCCTTATTTCTCCCCACCTCTATCCTCCTGCCCCAAAAACTTAAAGAACAGAAAGGGATCAGGAAGGAGGGAAAAATATGTAGCCAATGGGAGATACGTCACATGAAAGGGTAGGCCCCTGCGTCTCAGGCACAATCCTGTGAAACGTACAATAAATCGTACGTCATCTGTTCCGTCTCACGCTGCTTAGGGCAGATTGTGCGTGTTGAGCCATTATGCACCAAAGAATTCCTGTAAGGAAGAGAGGAGATCCCTCTCCAAGGCCATGAGGCAAAGTTGGAGGACTTCAGTAATTAACATAACCAACACCTGTACAGCTTTTTACAATTCACGTAGAATTTTCACATACATTGCTTTCATTGATTTCATTTGTGGAGCCCACTATTCAAAATAATTCATCAGCTATTACACTAGGTCTCAAAGGCAAAAAGTAAACTGAGTCTTCTCCAGTTATTTATACAAAAATGTAAACTATACCAGTGGGTTAACTATTAACCAATGACATTCTGTCTCTTTAATTGATGACCAAAATATCAACTATTCCATAAAGAAGCAAAATTAGACACTCAGGTTATTTTTATTTTAAATATCTGTATCTATTTTATGTTAGGCCTTCTTACTCAGTTAAAAGCCAGAACACTTTGAGAAGAGTTTAAAGAAAGTTATTTAAGAAGATAGCTTTAAACACGCTATGATTTCTCTATAAGGAATAATGGAAATTGAGATTAAATTTAAACTTTTATTATTTGTGGTCTAGAATCTTGAAAAAATGTTGGGAACATGCTTCGTACGTCATTTTGAGGGTTTTGCCTTCTTTTGTAGCTGAACCTGTGAACGACCTGCCTTCAGCTACCGCTGCGATCGCTGCTGGAAGGAACACGTGGGACAGTCGCTATGGCCCTGACTTCCCTGCAAGGTAGAACCCAGAAAGGCCTCCTTTCCACATTGCTCTCACTGATGAAATCAAAATAAAATTGTCTCACATTCGAGTCCTTAAATTTTCAGTTGGACTTGGAACTTAAATGTGATTGAAATTTACACTGAAATGAATGTTTCATAAATAGGCTTTTATGAATCATGCTGAGAAGTGGGAGAATATATCCTAAAATCCACATAACCAGCCTAAAACCAAACTTTTACTGCATAACTTGTTTATGATTGAGGACTGCTGAAATGATAGGTAACTCGTAGGCCTCGGGGAGACATTTTTAAATTCTGTTTAGATGTTTAAAATTTTTTACGATTTCTTAATCTTTGAGGCGATTTTTCCTATTGTTCTGTTTGTTCGGAACTGTAGCTGTTAAGAGATCATGATAGAATATTTATTGTAATATTGAATCTTTATCTAATGCTTTAGTTCTTAGTATCAGGAACTGAATTGAAAGCTAAGTAAAAATTTATTATCACAATAATCCTGAATTCTGACCCAAATGTGTGACAGAAACATTAGTATGTTTAAACATGTTTTTCAGCAGATCCTGTAATCAGCTTTCATGTGTATTTATTAGAACCTAAAATTTATATTGACTTTGGACTCCCTAATTTATCATCTGATTTTTTAGATTTAAAATTGACGTATTTTGTGGGGTTTTTTAAAGAAATTCAAGCAGATCCATTAAAAATACAATCAAAAAATTAAGAGTGAAAAATTGAAAGACTTTGTGTATGAATTGTTGGCTTAGCATGAAAATGTGAACTTGAATATGAACTTGTACTGCAGGTGTCACTCACTCCCCTCATTTAAGAGGCTTCTAATGGTGTGAAACCCTCACCTGCTCATATACGCTTCCTGCGGCATTTCCTACAGGCTGAGGAAGCACTTTGTTCCCCTTCCCCCGATTTACCATCATGAATTCTCTCACTACTGGCACTAAGCTTGCTACTCCCTAACTACCCCTGAGACTTACGAAGGGCCCAGGTTAGACTGTTGCCGATCTCGGAGTGTCTGTCTGTTTTTTCCCATGGGAAACTTCTGTCTACATATTATTTCCTCAATGCTATCCTGGGGTGGTAACATTGTGACATTTTCCGGCTTGAAAATTTAGAAAACACTCAGTATTCTAGGTCGTAACTCTTGAACCATGAAACCTCTAAAATCTCTGAACCTTTCCACTTGAAGAGTAGATTATTCCATAATTATGACTTAGGGACCTGAGTGGATAGCCTCCCACGTTTCGGACACTGGAGGATGTCTGGAAGACTCGTTTTTTCTGCTGCTCAGACAGCCGAGTGGCCACCTTCTCCCATTTTTTCTAGCAGAGCTTTCTCTAACCAAGAAAGAGGTCTGAGTTCCTTCCTTGGAGAGACATTGTATAGCTGTCATTCTGGGGCCCCAGTAACCCTCATATTTCATCTACAAGTGGCATTGCACCTAAACAGTGGTCTTATGAGGGAAAAAGGAGACATAGGAAGGAGAGAGGCAAAGCAGAAGACAACTCTAGCAGCTCTTCTGCACACTTGGCTTCCAGCCTGTCCAGGAGTTACACCAGATCAGAATCCCCTCTGCGGATATGAAAATGAGGCGACTCATAGGAACGTGCAGGACCTTAGCCGTGATGTGGGAGAGGAGGAAAGGGAACGCATGTTCATGACTTGCTTGCCTGTACGCAGGATCCCCCTCCCGTCACAGGTGTGAGGCAGAGTAGAAAGTGGACATGGTTTCGGAGGGAGGATGATAAGGACAGACATGACGGGGGCAGTGTGAGTATCGCTGACAGTCCCAGCAAGTGGCTACCAGCAAAACGGGGAGGAGACGTGAGGTGCAGCTCAGGGGGAACAGCACGGCCGCAAATGAGCATATGCCTGGGACAGACAATGACATCACTCAAGTTCAAAAGCAAGGCGTGTTGCTTTCAGAAAAGCTCATTAGTTAGGCTTTCATTAAATAGTAAGAGCACAGTATTGTTGCTTACCTTTGAGCTCACCAGTTGACTTGTTCATTTAGTTAAACAATAAAGTGGTCTGAGAGCTGCAGAAGTCACTGTGCCCTGTTCTCCAGTTTATCCCCAGTGGATTGGGGTGGGGATGCTTAGCTTGTCCACCTGACTGCACGTAGGCCACGGCAGACGTAAAACTTAGAAAGAGAAACACCTAATACTGGCCAAGTGTCATTCGAAGTTGAGAGCTAGACCGTCTAATCCCCTGGAAGCGGGTGGACTGAAATAAGACGTAACCAAAGCTCCGTGTCCTCATAGGCAGTGGGGGCCCGGGGACAGCTCGCTCCGTGAACCCTGACGTAACGCAGAGACGCACAGGCAGGCGGCCAGGTCTGCGAGGGTCTGGTACACCTGCAGCGTCCACAGATTGAGATTCGACCCAAGTACTTCAAACTGACGGCTTTCATTTTAACTTTTTATTTCTCAGTGTTTCTGTTTGTAAAAAGAAAATAACGTGCCTGTCTGCTCTCTCAAGGACATGGAGGTGGAGGTGGGGGTACTTCAGGCTCTTTGGCTAAAAGACATAAAACACATAGAGATACGTGTAGCCACAGCCAGCCTTTGGTTAAACGCTGTTATGCTTCCTCAATTTTTTTCGTTTAGAGGTGATGGTGTTGTTCCTAATTTCAGCCATTCTGTATAAAGTTTATGTTAAAAGAGAGAAAACGTAACATTTTAAATGTTTTACGTTTCAGTGGTGAAGGAGCTGTTTTTCCACACTCTGCTCGACACTCACGCCCCCAAGCCCATTCGTCAGCCTCAGGTAACGGAGTTGACAAAGCCTAAGACGTGCCGTGTAAATGGGCTAGCTGGGAAATGATTGAGGATAAGTGTAAATCAACCAAATATAGTCTTTTTTCTGAAAAATGTTAGATACACACCAAAAGGTTGATTAGTTTCTTTTGCTTGCTTTTCTTAATAAAAGCATCTCTGTTTCTCCATGTGTACTTATTTTTTACTGCTATTCGTGAATCCTCAAGTATGTAAAATCTGTTAAATTGCTATAAGTTAAAATTTTTTGCATGATGTCAATGGCTTTTTTTTTTTTTTGCATTTGAAGGAGGAATTAGAAGGTCTTCGTCTATGTCTTACGTTGATGGCTTTATAGGGACGTGGCCCAAAGAGAAAAGGTAAACAGAGAATTATTTTTAGTATCTTCACATTATCAAGAAATGCTAATTCTTTGTGTGCGTGTCTCTTTTTTGTCGTTAACCAAATTGGAATGGACTTTTAATTAGTGCCTGAGTTTGACAAGGGCAATGTAGGCAGGTGATAGAGATCAGAGGGGCTAGATGTAAAAGGCAGCCCATAGCCCTAACCTTACCTTGGGGACAGTATGATTGAGAAGCAGGGAAAGAAATGAAGCAGTATAATCAGCCGTCTGTATCTGCGGGTTCCATGGTTTCATCCAACCGCGGATTGAAACCATTCAGGAGAAAGAAAGTCATGTTGCTGACGTGTACTGTGTGTAAGGCCTAGGCAGCTGTGTCCTGCAGGATCTGCAGACTTCTGTCATTGTCCCATAAATGATACAGTGTAGCTATTTACCTAGCACTTACATTGTATTGGGTATTGTAAGTGTCAAGAGATGATTTCAAGTGTATAGGAGGATGCTTGTAGGTTACAGCAAATTCCGCACCGTTTTTCACAAGGGACGTGAGCACCCACAGATTCTGGAGTCTGCTGGGGTCCTGGAACCCAGCCCCACAGATGCCAGGGAACGACTGCAGTGTTAAAAATGGGTCAGTGGTATAAAATCGTTTCTTTTCTGGGATTATCTAAGGATTTTCTCTTTAAATTTGTTTTAGGTCATCAGTGCATGGAGTTTCATTTGATATTTCTTTTGATAAAGAAAATACTGTACAGAGAGCCACTCCAAACCGAGGAATCACTCGTTCTATTAGTAATGAAGGACTTTCTGTGAACAACAATCGTGCATCTAAAAACATTAGGAAAAACCTGTCCTTCAAGCCCGTAAACGGAGAAGAGGAAGCAGAAAGTATTGAAGAAGAACTCAACATCGACTCTGCCAGCGACCTCCAGTCTTACGTGCCCCTTCATGCGGATAAACTAAATTCTAATGAGAACGTTCTTTACGAGCTTCCAAATGGGCCTTTACAGAACAGAGTCCTTCTGGATGAGTTTGGCAATCAGATCGAGACGCCGAGCATTGAAGAGGCATTGCAGATCATTCACGACACCGACAAGTCCCCCCACACACCTCAGCTGGACCAAGTTGCCAACGGCTTCTTTCTTCACAGCCAGGAAGTAAGTATCCTGAACTCCAGCGTCAAGCGGCGCCAGGCTAGTCCTGAGGACATGACTGACACGAGAGGCGCCCTGAGCCCCATAACTGACACCACCGAGGTGGACACTGGAATTCACGTCCCTTCAGAAGACATTCCCGAGACCCTGGACGAAGACTCTTCCCTGAGAGATTACACTGTGAGCCTGGACTCGGACATGGACGACGCGTCCCGGTTCCTCCAGGAGCACGAGCGGCGGGGCAGCAACGCCAGGGAAGCCCTGAGTCCGTGCCCGAGCACCGTGAGCACCAGGTCGCAGCCCGGCAGCAGCGCGTCTTCCAGCTCCGGGGTGAAAATGACCAGCTTTGCGGAACAGAAATTCCGGAAACTGAACCATACTGATGGCAAAAGCAGTGGAAGCAGCTCCCAGAAAACGACCCCCGAGGGCTCGGAGCTGAACATCCCGCACGTGGTGGCGTGGGCGCACATCCCGGAGGAGGCCAGCCTTCCGCAGGCCCGGGACACCACGCAGCTGCTGGCCTCCGAGATGGTGCAGCTGCGGATGAAGCTGGAGGAGAAGAGGCGCGCCATCGAGGCCCAGAAGAAGAAGGTGGAGGCCGCCTTCACCAAGCAGAGGCAGAAGATGGGGCGGACAGCCTTCCTCACTGTGGTGAAAAAGAAGGGGGATGGGATCTCCCCGCTGCGGGAGGAGGCAGCGGGGGCAGAGGACGAGAAGGTGTACAGCGACCGGGCCGAGGACAAGGAGGCGGACAGAGCGAGCGGGCGGAGGAGCAGGTCTCTGGTGGACATAAAGGAAAGCACCGACAGCCCCCCGGGCAAGTGGCGGAAGTCGCCAGCCACACCTGTGGACCCCGAGAAGCAGTGGAGCCTGCCGAGCCCCTCAGAAGAGACGGCAAACGAAGGGGAGATTCTGGAGTACATCAAGTCCATCGAGAAGCTCAACTCGTCTCTGCATTTCCTGCAGCAGGAGATGCAACGCCTGTCTCTGCAGCAGGAGATGCTCATGCAGATGAGGGAGCGACAGTCGTGGGTGATCTCCCCACCCCAGCCCTCCCCCCAGAAACACGTCCGGGACCTTAAGCCCCCCAGGCAGGCCTGCCTGTCACCTGCCAGCGCCCCATTCTCCTCAGACTCCCCTCGTCCTACGCATCCATCCCCACAGGCTTCTGCGAGGAAAAGCACATCTTTCTCGGTCAAAAACCAAAGGACTCCTCGGCCAAATGAGTTAAAAATAACGCCCTTGAATCGAACGTTGACGCCGCCTCGGTCTGTGGACAGCCTTCCTCGGCTACGGAGGTTTTCACCGAGTCAGGTTCCCATCCAGACGCGGTCATTTGTGTGTTTTGGGGACGATGGAGAACCTCAGGGAAAGGAGTCCAAACCCAAGGAGGACGTCAGGAGGGAGGACGACGCCAGGCCGGCCTCGGAGCAGCACGCGCAGAGCCCGGAAGCGAAGGAGATGAGGCCACTGGAGGCGAGCGTGGCGGAGGTCCTGTCCCAGCCCGTCACCGAGACCGTGTGTCTCACGCCCGGTGAGGACCAGCTGGGCCCAGGCGCAGAGCCTCCCGCTCGGCCCGCTTTCCCGCCTGCCGCTCCGAAAAGCGTGAACCTGATTGAAGTTTCCCTCTCAGACTTGAAACCCCCCGAAAAGGCCCATGGGTCTGTGGAGAAAGATGACGGGGAAAGTGACAAAGAGCAGTTTGACGACGACCAGAAGGTGTGCTGTGGATTCTTTTTCAAGGTAACGGCCATCGGGAGAGTTTGCGGCCTCGTGGGTGGGATTGTTTGTAGGTTGACACACTTGCTTCTCCCCGCAGCGGCCCCTGTTGTTACAGATCTGCCATCAGCCCTGAGCTGGACTGGCCCCTCCCCTTGGTACCTCGTGGTTTCTAGAATAGTCATCTTCCACCGCAGCCACGGGACATGTTTACATGCGCCGTCTTGGCTCCTCTGGCTCTCTCACAAAAGCCTTTTAAAAATTAAACTGTTCAGATCTCTTCATGTGCTACTCGAGATAAATCTTCCAAGAGCGTAACTCCAGTGGAACTTCTTTGTAGCCAGAGAGCTGAGAGCTGCCTTTCCAGCCCCTCGGCGTCACGCCCGCCCATTTGCCCACCCTGCTCCCGTCACTTGGATTGTGTGCCGTTCCTTACGACTGGCTTCACGCCCACCTGTGCGCGAACCCTTTGTAGCTCCTTCCATAGATGGTAACTGTTTCCTCCATGTGTCTCTGCTGCGTCCTAAACACACTCGGCGCAGTACCTGCGACCCACGCTTTCAGCTCTTTTGTTGTGATTTGCTCATGTCCTGGGCTCTCAGACCAGGAACGCCGGCAGGCACCACAACCCTTTGTCCCCAGCGCGCAGTGAAGTCCCAGCCCCCGGCACGGCGTATGCAGTGTGTTAGGTGCTGACACATAAATGTCCCAACGGCCGTGTCTCCCGACTTCACTGCGAGCTCATCACTCTGGGCCCCTGCACCAAGCGCGCTCCCCGCGTGGCCTCCCAGCTCCTTAGGCTAAGACGCGCTTCTGTTCCACGGTTAACATCTGTGCCCGGCACGGTGCTGTGACCACGTCAGACACCAGGAAATGCGTGCTGAGTTCATTGTTATGCAGAGCCTGTCAGGTAGGGACCCACTGCCAGAGTGCGTGCTTTCCTGACGCTGAAGCAGTCTGGAAGCTTCTGAGAACTGGACTGTCCCGGAGGGTCAGGCCAAAGCTGAGGCCATCCCAGGAGGCCGACAGGCCCTGACCCGGCCTCAGCAGGATGGCCGAGCTCCCTCCAGAGGCCAAGCCTACCCAGAGCTCAGGCCAGCAAGCCACTGGTTGGGGCCTGGACTGTGAAACACGGCAGGGGTTTCATTTGTGTGGCGTAACTCAGGCAGCCCGCTTTTTGCTGCTTTTTCTCTATTGAGCATGTGTTTTAAATACCATTTAAATGCAATGTTTTTTAAAAATTTGCGCAAACTCCCCGCTCAAGTTATTAGGGTCCAAATAAAAGCTGTGCATTTTTTCCTTCTTTGCTAACTTCCTGTGTTTTAAAAATGTGTAATTACATGTTTGTGTCCTTCGTTACTTGATAGAACTGGCACTACTTTAATTCATTTCTTCCTTTATAATTTCTGGAACATATATGTACACATATGGTGTGGGGTTGGAATAAGGTTGAATAGATAGTTCGTATTTTCAGTTATAAGCATGACTACAGCTGAAATGAGACTATTTGTACCTAAAACATCATCTTCCTCAATGAAATCGGTTCTCAGGATGATCAAAAAGCAGAAAATGACATGGCAATGAAGCGGGCGGCTTTGCTGGAGAAGCGGCTGAGGAGGGAGAGAGAGAGCCAACTCCGCAAACAGCAGCTGGAAGCGGAGACGGAGCATAAAAAGGAGGAGACCAGGTGAGGCTGGGCACCGGCGTCCAGGGCCAGGTGAGGCCGGGCGTGCAGGCGTCAGAGAGCCGTGCGGGGGGGCGGCTGCTCCTCAGCGTCTCCCTGGCACGCTCTCCAGGCGTTTGCAGTGTATAAAGACAACTGAACTAATGCTGATTCCTGGTGCTTTATAGATGTGCTTTTATTTCCCCAAAGTATTACTTAACTGTGTATTTTAATCCTAAGTTTGAACCATTTCGAAGCAATTTCTTCAGAAACATTAAGGTAACTTCACTGGGTTTTACACACACACACACACACACACACACAATTTTTTAAAGTAGTTTTTTATAAATGGTATATTTACATATCTTTTAATGACCTAAATTATCTCAAGTATATTTTAAATGAACCATTTTTCCCAAGGTACTAAAATATAATAATTCTGCCTTCTCACATAAATACAGTCTCCAGTGTCTGTTTTCTGTTCTGTGCAGAATAAGGAATTTAACCATTTGGTTTCTTAGGCGCAAAACCGAGGAAGAACGTCAGAAGAAAGAAGATGAGAAGGCACGGAGGGAGTTTATTAGGCAAGAATATATGAGGCGCAAACAGCTGAAGCTAATGGAAGACATGGATATAGTGATTAAACCCCGTCCTCAGACAGCAAAACAGAAAAAACCGCGCCCAAAATCTATTCACAGAGATCACATTGAATCCCCAAAAACACCCATTAAGGGCCCTCCAGGTAACCAGCTTGTTGTGCAGAGTCTGTTCATGAGCAACACCAGGCTGGCTTGTCACCCTAACGGGGTTGTGCTAAACGGGGTCCCCGCTGAGAGTGCATGGTCCTGGCCCGGGAAGCCAGATGGAGCAGCTGTCGTGCTGTGACTCACCGTGTGTTATGTGTGAATGCATATATTCCACAGGACAGACATGAGCGCTAAAGCCAAAGCATCCAACTTACATACTAACCTCTTAGGGAGCTCTGCCCTCCGATATAACCTCCCTGAATCACTAACTTCCTGTCCTTCCCATTCTCATAAATGGAAGGACAAATGTGTGCATGAAATAGACAAGAAACACATCGCTGTAGTAAGGAATCCGAGGCCAAGACTTCATGAGTTTCTCCTGTAAGAGAGAAATGTTCAAAACCCTAAATTCATAATTTTTAGAGTTGAGAGGATATCTTTTTTTTTAATTTAACCTGCATACTTTTTTTTTTTTTTAATATTTATAAAAACTAAACATCGTGGAAAATTTTAGGGAATTCCCATAGTTATTCTAAAACTGAGGAAAAATAACATAATTCTGCCTTTTCTAACAATGAAATCGTATTGACTGAAATTGGCAAATTAATTTTTCATCTAGGAATTAGATATTTCTAAATATATATATATTTTTTGGTTAATTTCTTTTGTTAATTTTCTTCTTGTCAACTTTTTTCTTATAATCACCATATCACGTCTCATATTACCACTTTCCTTTTGGAATAAATCCTAACAGCAATTAGTTTTTTCATTATTTCTCAAAAGTAGGTTCTTTGCTAATTTTAAATGAATTGTGCATATATGCATGCAAGCATATTATGTACTTAAGAGTAAAAAGAAGGAAACTGCAGAACCACAGAAGCTTGATTTTCATAAGCCGGTGTTATCTGATGAACAGACTCTTTTTCTAGTTGCACCTGTTAAGTTTCTGGTTTTGTTTTCGTTCAGGGTCACGAATTTATCGTGTTTTTTCAGTCTCCAGCCTCTCCCTGGCATCACTGACCACGGGCGATAACGAGAGCGTGCTGTCAGGCAAGAGGACACCCAGGTGAGCCCTTCCAGTCAGCACCTCACAGGAAAGAGCGTGCTCCCTGTAGTTATTCTGTAGTTTGTGATACTCATAATCAAAGTTTTTATAAGTTTTGCTGATTAAAACAGTTTGGGTTCCGTTAAAGGAAATTTGTATATAAAGAGATCTATTCACCTTTCACTGTTTGTCTTTCAGAAGCTTAGAATTACCGATATTGATAAGATGCTTCTTATTAACTATAAGTCACTGACAGTAATCGCCGAATGGCTGCGATACAGTCACAGTCTGTGGAGATAGAAAGTTCGCCAACCACGCAGTGCCAGCCTCCGGCTAATTTCCCACCTGATAGAAGGAGATTTCCCCCATTGGAATAATCCCACAGCCGTTGCCTGTGACGTAGGAAAGACCTCTTTTGTACTCTTTCCCAGGATGTAGATCGGAAGCTAGAAGTCAGCATTTTGTTACCTTATGTTGTAAAACTCACATGAAAGAAAGGACGTTTCTAGCGAACTCATCAGCTTTGAGTTCTAATCTTTGCAGAATTCCCCCATCCTGTTGTGTGCATTTCCAGCTTTCATGTGAAAAACGTTCATTTCTTCAGTCAGCAGGCCCTGTGGGGCACCGCCTGCCATGTGGGCACTGGGGGGTAGCTGTGAATAAGACAGTGATCACCATCTGTTTATAGTTAACGCCTCGAGCTTGATTGGGGCTGGTTCCCCCACATATACCTTTCTGACCCCCAGTGTCCTTTTTCTGATTGAGACATGAGAAATATTTTACTTACTGTATAGATCAGAGTCTGTGGAAGCTTTCCTATCTCCAAGCCGTTGTGGCAGTCGGAATGGAGAGAAAGACTGGGAAAACGCATCGACGACGTCTTCAGTGGCGTCTGGAACAGAGTACACAGGTCAGTGTCTGTGTTTTCAGGAAACGTTTTCACTTAGCGCAGGACCGAGACTAGCCATGGGGTCTGCTAAAGAAGGCTTCACTGGCTTGCCTCTGGTCTCAGCACAGGAGACTGGTCAAAGCAGTGACACATACAGGTCCGCGTAGGGACGTAGGGACTTGTCCCAGGTGACCTGAGATGAAGTTCCAATCAGAACGATGCCCCTTCCCCTCCTTGTCTCTCGGAGCTGCTGGCTTTTCTGTATTGTGGTTTGGGTCTGAAGAAGCTGTAGAGAGCCTGTCAGCGGTGCACAGGTGCTGAGCTCTGAGCAAAGGCTGGACTCCACGAAGTGCTCTCCCTAACACTGGGACTCCAATTCTAGCGCTGTGCGTCTTTAATAAAAGTGCTAAGAGGCTGCCCTGGACCTGGAGGGCAGCCAGCCTCACGTGTTCCCAGCAGGTCCTCTCTGAGCCTCTGGCTGGCGAGGCATTACTGAAATAAATGCAAATTGAGGGGTAGAATGAAAGGAAGAAGACTGCGAATGAAATGAAGCAGGAGAGGAAACGAGAAGTAATGGGACGTCAGGAGAGCGCGCGTGGGCCTCGGCGTGCCTCCACGCGCTGGGCCTGGAGCTGGGAGCCGGGTGGCCCACGCGCGCTCTCCGCGTGTGCTGCGCTCTGGCTTCTCAGCCAGGCTGACAGCCTGTAGGGTGGGGCCCGGCTGGTGTCTCCGTGACTCCCTCCACTTCTCCATGCCCGTTCAGACCACGCTAGCCAGACACTGTTCTAAGCCTAGGGCGCGAGTTCCAGCTGTGCAATGGACCAGCTCGCACAGTTGGTGGGCATCACGGCAGCTGCAGAACCACAGGCAGCTTCAAAGCGGCTCCACAGAAATAGGTAAACTACACATCAGGGTGACTGTTTTCTTTCCCAGAGAGCTGGCTTCTGAGCCCACCAGGGAGGGTCAGGCCCTGTCCTGGCCTCACAGGGCAGGTCGGTCGGCCTCAAGCAAGAGGGAGCCTTCCTGATAGAATGTTCCAGACAGCGGCAGAGGTGCTTCTGTGCTTTCCCTACTGAGGAGCACAACTGGGGCAGAAAATGCTAAAACACCACAGGTGGGGAAGAAGAAAAACACGAAGGTTTTCCTTGACTTTTTAAAAGCTTAAGCTGCTCATGGACCCCCTCTGCTCTAAGCACCCCGATAGCCTCAGCGGACTGGCGAGAGAAGGTGACACAGGCAGTGTGACAGTTACAGCTCCCCAGGGCAGCCTCCGGAGGCAGGAGCATCCTGCAAGGGACCTGAGTGCGTAAGCGTGTCTGACTGTGGCCTAGCCGGCGGGCCTCAGGCACAGGACTGGGTGTTTCCCAGTGGTTCATCCGAGTAGGATCAGGGACGCCATTGGAATAGAGTGGCACTTCTGACTTAGGAATGCTGTTTTTATTATCGTCCAATTCTTACCACAGGACCAAAGCTCTACAAAGAACCCAGCGCAAAATCTAATAAGCACATAATACAAAACGCTTTAGCTCACTGCTGTTTGGCTGGAAAAGTAAATGAAGGTCAAAAGAAAAAAATACTGGAGGTAAGTGTGACTGCGGGAAAATTAAATTTCATGCATTCTAAAATGGGGGGAGTCTTCTCTCTCAGCCCAGAAGACGAGACTCAGAGGCTCTGAGCGTTTCAACAGCGCATGAAAGACCTGTGGCTGTTTTTAGGTTTATTAGGTTTCATCCACTTCCAAATGGGGTTCTGGGCTTACGTGATGGTATAAGATGATAGACGATCTTCCTGCCCAGACTCACTCACTCACGTTTCATGAATGCGCGTAACATACCCTTCCTTTTCCGAAAGGAAGCCGTGTCGCAGAGATGAGGCAGGGCCTGGTTGGTGAGGTGGCGACAGTGTGATAAGGTCAGAGTTAGCAAGTGCCTCGGCCTAAGCTGTCTGCCTGCTTTCCAAGTCAAGTGTCTCTGCTTTCATAATACAGCCTTATTTTGGCTAAGAATTTACGTTTTAAATTAAATGTCATCAAAGGTGACCAAGAAATGTGCACAATTATTCTGTGAAATGTTTAAGGGTTTCTATTGGTGTTTTGTTTTTGTTTTTTATTCCAAAGGAAATGGAGAAGTCAGATGCCAACAACTTCTTAATCTTGTTCCGGGATTCAGGCTGTCAGTTCAGGTCGTTGTATACTTACTGTCCAGAAACTGAAGAGATTAATAAACTGACTGGGATAGGCCCTAAATCTATCACGAAAAAAATGATCGAGGGGCTTTACAAATACAATTCTGACAGGAAGCAGTTCAGCCACATACCCGCTAAAACACTGTCTGCCAGTGTCGATGCGATCACCATCCACAGCCACCTGTGGCAGACCAAGCGACCAGTGACCCCCAAAAAGCTCCTGCCCACGAAAGCGTAGGAGCCAGGACGCACGTGCTGAACTGCGCTTCGTCTCTCCTGCCTGTAGAGAGCCTTTCTCGTTGCCGACAGACTTCTGTGCACTGATATGGAACACGAGCTCTGTCGTGAGCAGCCGGCATGTAAACCAGAGTTCGGGGGCGCACAGGGTCCTCGCGGAGGCGGTGTTTGGCTCGCAGGCGGACACGCTGTCATCGGGCTCCCTTGCTCGGTGCCAGACACACTGACACACTGAATTCTCAGACACTAGGTGGAAAGATGGCTAAGGTTACAAAGTCTATGTTTTATTTGTTGCTTTTTAAAAACTTTTAATGTATGTGCTTGTCTTCAGATGATTTATTTTGACATTTTTCTCTCCTTGGGGGTTTATTTTAAAATGACTTCATATTTTATTCCACGTGGAGATCATGAGCGTAGGAAATAGGCCTTCCCAGGGAACTCGCGTCTTTCTCATGATGCTGAGAGAAACGCTAGTGTTTAGTCTCACAGTCACCCTCCTGTTTTAATGGTGTTAGATATGGGCAAGAATTATTCTGCTAAGTATTTACAACCGTATTTATTATTCACTCAAGTATTAACATTTCTCTATTAATGAGAGGAGTCGTGAAGAGCTGCTGGTAGGTTCGATCCCCACCACAGGAGCTTAACCAAGAATGTGTTATGAGAAGTTGCTGATTGAATCAGTGTTGTTTTCACCCCACTTCTGGCCAACTCAGTATAACTTAGATTGTTCCTTTAGCAAAAAGGCTTTCTACCCCTTTTCAGATGTCACTTTATAAGTTGGCAGAAGTGAATGACACTTTGAGAGTAGTCTTTTGACCTGAAGATGTAAGACCTCCTGCAGCAAATTCCCAAGGGTCTTTACATCATATTTATAACTGATAAAAATTATATCTAGAATTTAAACTGTACAAAGGGCTATATTTTAATTTTATCATAGCTTCACATTATTTTACTTATATTGAGTTTTTCTTCTTTTTTGCCCTTTTCAAGTGGAACAGCTTAGATTAAGTGCACACTTGAAACCTTCTCTATGTGACCTTTGTCCCTTTAACAGTGTATCCAGAGGGTTAGTTGGGGAAAAACTTCATTCTCAGGAATAGACTTGAATGATTATGTGACCCTGTTTCAGTGTTGTGACAACTGTGTAACTTAGGGGAACGACAGTATTGTGTCATAAGTGAGATGCGTGGTTTGTTTTCTTTCGTGGGAAGTAGAGACTAAAATATATGCATTTCTCTAACTGAATTGCTTAGAGAAATAATTAATATCTTATATGATGTATTTACTTATTTTAAAAAAAGAATAGGAATGAGATGTCCCTGAACTGTACTTTTCTATTATACGGCCTGTAGGCGTCAGTGCATCTGAGTTACCAACATTTTCTCAAATGCTGTCAATATTTTACTGTAATTTATGTTCTTATATTTATGTATATTTGTTAAAACTGTAAAAACTTTCACAGATTTTTTTCCAATACTTGTGCAAGATATACGTGTGGCTCAAAACTATTTGTGATCTACTGTTTGCATGTCAGAGACCGGGATATGTAACTCTTATATTTTAAGTGTATACATATTGTGTATATAATATATGAATATTAAAAATGGGGAATTGCACATCTTACCTTTTAGACAACAGTTTCTATCACCATTAGAAGGAAATAATTCAGATAATGTTTAGATTAAGACTGGTTTACAAAAATAGTAAATGAATCTAATCAAAATGTGATAAATAATCCTCAAAAGGAGAATTGGTAAGCATTTTACATTACTAAATTTGTCCTTTTCTGCCAGATTTCCCTCATCCAAGCCACTTTCTTTATGATGTTACTTGGTCATTCAATTTTTAAAAATTGGATGCAAGACAATGGAGGAAGTATTGACACTAAACAGGACCACCCTTCGTTCTTACACGTACGTGTGTCCGACCGTGAATGTCCGTGACGTCTAAGGGTAGAGTGTGGGTATTGCCAGAGTCCATTGCTCCCAGTAGGACATTTGCTTTATTAATGCAGAAGGAGTATGGATATGTTTCTTTAATCTGCAGATTTTTTTTATTATGGTGCAGCTTTTTAAAAAATTATGTTCTAAAAATGTACAAATGAAAATGATACCATTTTATCCAGGCTGGATATTTTCATCATCCTCATTGAAACACTGGTGCTTTCTCATCGGAGGTCAAATTGTTACGGTGATTATTCAGTTAAGTTTGCCAAACCCTTGAATGGTTACCAGTGCAGCCGTCAAATTCTGCCATTTGACACAGCTTCGGAAAGCTCTCAGTTCCTCTCAGCTTTTCGATTTTGTTTTAGAATGACTGTTACAGTGTTTATTTGGCTGTTTAAAGCCAAACTCAGCTTTTTAACGATGGCTTCATGGACAGTGCTGGGCAGCACACACTGTGTGGTGTGCTCATCTGCCACGTTTACAGGTTTCTAAGACGCTGTGCTGTAAAATACCGTCAGGTTTGCTGTTTCCTGGTGGAGTGCAGTTTCCCCTTTCATTTGAATAAAAGCATGGCACCAAATGATTCCTGTTTGTGAGTAAAATGTGTTTGTTTTTTTTTAACAAAAAAATCTTTGAACTTAGGTGAATTCATTATATAGTTTTCCTTCCTCTTAACCTGTGTTTAAATTTAACAATTTGAATATTCATAGAGGCAACTTTTAATAACATTAGACATTGTTTGAATACTGATGTCAGACAATATTAAGACGTCTGTAACCTTCTGTGCTTAGCTCGGTCTTCACAGTGTGTATAAACGTTGGTGGCCTCTCACAGCGATTGTGTCCCTGTAACTCACTCTCTTTTGGTGAATTAATACTTCAATTGTGCCAGAATTTACACTCCGCACCCTTGAAATTGAGTGGCTCCCGAGTGCCATGAAAGGGCGCTCTTGACTGGTACTCTTTCAGTTTCACTTTGATTTGGCCGATTCTGCTCATTGAAACCAGAGCAATTTTTAAAAAAGATCTAATGACAAAGTGACCACAGCAGCACCTTCAGACGACATTTACCCCTGAAGAAACACGGCTTCCCGAGCGCAGGGGCTGCCTGCCTCCAGACCCTGCGCCGGACGCGCCCCAGAGCACGGTGACATGCCGCGGCATTTTCTAATCCTTTCATTTTCAGAATAGAAGTCTTTTCCCTAAGACTCAGCAGCATTAGAGACGTGCGCACAGCAGTGGTGCCCGGGCACCCACACATGACGTGGGTGTGTCCCTGGCCTGGCTAATGGCAGGTCTCAGCTACGACAGGGAGGCGGTTCTGAGAGGGAGCCGCCGGGGCCTTTCGTGCCTGTCGACAGAGAGAGAGAAGGCCCCGTCCCAGGAAGGAGCATGGCTGTCACGCTGTGACCAGGCACCGGAAAAACCCGCCTGTGAACCAGTGTGGAATCCTGGCCTCGGACGTGGCTCGTGCTTGAAACACTGAGCTGTTTCTCCATCAATGGCGGTTTTGGTTTTAGAAGGATAGCTTATGTGTAGGTCAGAAAAACAGAGAAAAAAAGGACTGCTTTTCCATTGAAGAGGAGAAAAGTAAATGAATTCACAAAAAAGCGTTTTAAGACCCACTAAGGTTTTTTTTTGTTTTTTTTTTCCCTAATATGTGAAGCAAAGCTACTAGACTGCTGGTACCTTCCGCTTGAGCTCAGGGAATTATTTCTGGTGGGTGAGGGGGGGCCTGTTGGTGCTGGAACATGGCTGTGGGCACACAGGGCGACACGGCTCATGCCTAGGGCCTCCCGTCCACACTCATACCCGGCCTCACTGACCCCTGACCCTACCGGCTACTCAGTCCTCAGGGTGTGCGTGTGTGTGAGAGAGAAAGGCAGTGTGCTCTCAAACCCCTAGGAACCCCCTCTTTAATATCGCTTTACGATTGAAAAGCTTCCTCAATGGGCTGTCACATGCCCACTTTACAGATGGGGATGATGAGGCTGTAAAAGGTTAGTAACTGTGCCAGGGGCACAAAGCTGGTGACAGCTCACAGCCGGAGTCCAAGCCCTCTGGTTTCGAGTCCCCTCTGCCGTGCCCCATGGTGCAGACACCATGGGATAAAAACATGGAAAGTCTGACAGCTGCACTGCTTGGGAACGGGCCCACCGCGGACGGAGAACAGGGCCGCATGAAAGTGGGTTTCATCTCCTGGCCCAACGCGCTCGCCAGCGTCCGCACGGCAGCAGCTGAAGTCAGACGGCTGCGCCTGTACGTCTAGGCTCATAGGATAGAAGAATGGAGCGAGGCTGCCGTCTCTGCTGCCACATTGGTCCGATTCACTGAGGAAGCCGTTACTGGGTGCAGGGGACCAGGGCACAGGGACTCTTCCATCCAGGACCTCACCGTCAGGCAGGCGTGGAGGGACAGTCCCCAGCAACTGGTAATAAACTGCTCCCCTAGGGACACGGGCCCAAAGCCACGGCCGATTCGCCTCTTCTGGGTGACGGCGAGGTGCTGGTTCCTCAGGCAAGTTCAGCCTATTAAGGGGACTTTATAAAGAACACAAAACTCACGCCATCAGTCACACCCAGCTTCAGACTTGACTTCTGAACCACAGCGACAGCGCTGGTGACAGGGCCCCAAGGCCACCTGATGACAGACTTGTGACCTACACCCTCTTCACTCCGTCAGCCAAAGCGGCCGCGCTGTCGTGTGTGGTGCTCCGTGTTGTCCCCACCACCGGCGGGCCGTCATGTCCCCAGGGCTGAGGGGACCTGTGGAGCCACAGGTACCGAGTCTGTGCCCGGCCTGCCCGACAGTCAAGGCCTCATCACAGGAGTGGTCAGTAGATGCCTGCCAGGCGCCCAGTCCCAGGCCAGAATTCAAAGGCCCCACACCGAGGCTGACGTGTGCTAGGCCACCCCTAAATTCCTGCCACGGATGCTTTTGTCCTCAAACTGGAAACCCCAGGCTGGCCTTCCTGGTCTGACTCCCTCTGGTTCACACTTCACCCCAGGGGACGCAGGCGCAGCCTGAAGCTCCAAACCTCTCCGATCGCCTCTTTCCTTCTCCCTACTGCTCAGTCTCCCCCCGCAGGTGGGGGGCCCGTCTCAGGGCTCAGTCCGTCCTGCCCTCCCAGAAGGCCCTCGGTACCCGCTCTGATCGACGCTCTGGCCCCACCCATGTGTCTAACTGCCATCTCAGCGTCTTCACCTCGGTTCCCCCGTCATCCTCAGCCTGTAACTGCCCAGTGGAACCAAGTCCTTCCTGGCGTGCATCCAGCCACCAAGGCAGGAACCTCCGTCTGCCCTACCCCTCCCACCTCCTGCCCGGGCAGCCAGCAGGCCCCATCAGGTGCTTTCAGTCTGATCCTCATCTCCACGGTCACGGCTCCGTGTCACACCTACATTCTGTGAGAGCCACCGGCAGGTCTTCCCTAATCCCCTGCACCCCCCACCCCCACCCCCAAACCGTCCTGCCAACCATCCCTCACCTTTCCTAAAGTCCGGATTTCCTCGTGAACTCCGGGCACCTTCCGATCACCGCACAAAACTCACTCCTCACATCGAAGTCTCAGGGCTTGGCCCCAGCTCGGCTTTTCAGCAACGCCAGGGCATCTTCCGGAAATAAGCACCCAGCAGCATGCCGGAGCTCAGGGAAACGCACATTTCAAGGTACGTCTCAAAGTAGCCGTGGAAACGAGGCGGTCTGCCGTTCTTACACTTGGCAGGTCATCATTTTATGGTGAGCTGCAGAGGGTGGGGCTGGCCAAGTCCCCGAGAAGCAGACTAGAAAGCTATGTACCTTCTGCTCTGACAGTGGTATAAAAAATACCAATGCAGAGAGTACCTGAAATCGAACGTGAAAAGAATAGGAAACCCCAGAAAAGTGGGATTGTAAACGAATTCTTTTGAAAATGTCCTTCACTGGTTGGAAGTACATTCACCGGGCCTGAAATGAATTTTATTCCAATTCTATAATGGGTTTCGATGATGAAAAGGGTAAATATAATTTTCAACACTTTTCCTAAAGGGTCAAGATGATTTGTACGGAAAAACTAAAACGGGAGGGGTGTGTGTGTGGAAGAGCTTAAATCTATAGCCCACAGGTGGGCTGAAACAAGCCTACGGAGTTTAAGGCATTGGATATTTATTATTATCTCTACCGTCTCAGGCTGGTGCCAATCACTGTGATGGACAGAGAGAAGGCTGAGAAAGAGGGCGGGAGCTTTCTGCTTTACTGTGTTGGCAGCTGGCCTCTGGGGCATCGGGGTGAGAGTTTCTCAGAGCTGACTAGTTTCTCGTCCTTGGGGAGGTGAGGGAGCAGAATCGTGCTGTGAGGGGGGTCTCTGGGAGGCCAGGCCCCGAGCAGTGTCCCCAGTTCTGGCCTTAGCTGCTCCCTTCCGTCCAGACAAGCTCAGGAGGGCCCACAGGGCCGAGGCCCAGCCCAGAGAATCCGCCCTGGGCCACAGGCTTCCCTGGGGTAGGAGACCACAGCCCCAGGAAGCAGGTCTGTGCTTTTAATAAACAACCTACTTCCACTTCCCCACCCCCGCCGGCCGCCCCCTCTGGCTGCCCGCGCATTCTGCTCTTCCTGGCGGGTTCCTCGCTGCTATTCATTTTCCACTTTCAGAATCACTCGTGTTCTCTCGGTGCCCCAGATGGAGGTGTGCCCGGGAGCTGTGACCCTGCCAGCCTTCCAGGGAAGGAGGCTGCAGGCCACCAGCACCCCACCTTCTGGGGGTCACTCGGCAGCACCTGTGTGATCAGACGTTAGAAAAACCTCTCCGACTCTCCAGCAGCCCCTCAGATGTCCACCCCTGGGTGGGTGGCATCTGCCGTTCCCAGCAGAGCCACCCCAGGCCCGCCCTTGACCCCTCTGCTGAGACCTGCGACGTTACACTTCTCTCTCCTTCCTGTCCCCACTGCCCCCAGCACAGTGATGCCAACGGCCCACGGTGAGTCTGTCCCCGTTCAGTGCACAGCTCTGCCAGCGACCTTTTCAGGACAGATGGCTGTGTCGTCCTACTCAAAAATGGCCAGAGGTGCCTCACCACCTACAGAAGGAAATGCAGACCCCTGTCATGGGCGTCCTCTCCTGCCACCATCCTGCCATCCGGCTCTGGTCGCCCTGGGCCCGGGCGCTGCTGCTCTGGCTCACCTCAGCGCCTTCCTGGGACAGACGACTCCCTGGAATGCCTTTCCCAGGTGCTCCCCGCAGGGGCCTCACTGCCGCTCCCCTGAGCCCAAGGGGACTGTTTCGGCGTTTCCCAGCGCGCCTCTGCGCCCGCTGCCTAACCCGGAGCCCCTGGACCCGCCTCACAGGGCGGTGCCGTCCACCTCATGGTCAGCACCAGGTTGCCCAGCAGGTCAGGCACTCGTTCCTGGTGATGGGGGGGGGGGCTCTGGGCGGGCACAGCCAGGAACATGAGTTCCAACGCAACATTTTATGGGGGGCAGGGGGGGGTCTGTCAGACCTCAGTGGCATCACCCAGAATCCCTGCTGCACCCCACCTTCTGGAAGAAGGGCACAGCTTCCCTCACCCCCCAAGGCAGACGTTCTCCCCACTCTTCCCACGAAGCCTCCGCTGACTCTCCCTCCTCTAAGCTCCTGACTCTTCTCTGAGGACCAGTGACCTGGTGCTAAGTTGGGCTCCATCTTGTCGTCTGTCCTGAGCCTCCGGCCGCGGTTTTGCCTGAAGGAGGCAGATGGGGAACAGCTGGGATTTGAACCCCGGGCCCTGCGCCTTCCATCTGCACCACCTGCCATACCCTTCCCCCAGCTTCAAACACTCCCATGAGGCTCCGCGAGGACATGCTTGGGTCAGAAAAGCCGCTCTTTGGGTTCCGACCCCGAGCCCGCATCTCAGGAGACGAACAACCGCTGAGAGCTCTGAGGGGCACCTCCCGGTCAGGGCAGGTGCCCACCCATCCGACCCAGGGCTGTGGCCACAGAGCAAACCCCCTTCTTCCTGGAAGACAGTGGAGGGGCCCAGGCTGGCACCCCGACCCCTTTCTGCGCCCCTCCTGCAGGGTCTGCGCCCTCACCGGTAAAAGCAGACACACGGGCAGCTCTCGCGTGGCAGCGGCCAAGCTGGTGAGCACGGGCGAGGGCTCCCGGGCGCCCACCCGCCCGCTCACGCTGCCCAGGCGGCTCCACTGGGAGGCAGGTGGGTCTCCCGGGCCTGCGGGCGTTCCCTCCACCGCCGCTCCGACGCCCCTCTCCCTGGCCCGGCCCTTCCCCCGGGAATCCCGAGCCGCCGTCTCCACCACACCCTCTGCCCCTCCTCCAGCACCTTCCTGCCCCCCGTCGCCCGGGCCCCGGCGGCAGGAAGGGAGGTGCTGGGCACCGTCCGCTTAGAGCTGCTGCCACCTGCGCCCAGGTCGCCCGCGCGCACAGCTCCCGCCCGGCCATGCCGTCCGCCGCGCCCTGGAGCCCCAGCCCGGGGACGGGACTCTGGGACTACTCGGGGTCGGGCGCCCCGGAGGAGGACGACGAGCCGTGCGCGTCCGGGGAGCTGCCCCACGCCCGCGCCTTCGTCCCCGCGCTCTACCTGGCGGCCTTCGCCCTGGGCGTGCTGGGCAACGGGCTGGTGGTGCGGCTGCTGGCCTGGCGGCGCGGCCCGCGGCGGCTGGCGGACACCTTCGTGCTGCACCTGGCGGCCGCCGACCTGGGCCTGGTGCTGACGCTGCCGCTCTGGGCCGCGGCGGCGGCGCGGGACGGGAGCTGGCCCTTCGGCCCGGCGCTCTGCAAGCTGAGCTGCTTCGCGCTGGCCGCCTCGCGCTGCGCGGGCGCGCTCCTGCTGGCCGGCCTGGCCGCCGACCGCTACCTGGCCGTGGCCCGGCCGCTCCGGGCGCGCCTGCTGCGCTCCCCGCGGTGCGCGCGCGCCCTGTGCCGGGGCGCCTGGGCGGCGGCGGTGCTGGCCGGCGTGCCCGCCCTGGTGTCCCGCGACCTGGAGCCGCTGCCCGGGGCCCCGGGCAGCCAGTGCGGGGAGCGGCCCTCCGACGCCCTCCAGGTCCTCGGGCTGCTGCTGCTGCTGCTCACCTGCGCGCTGCCCCTGGGAGCCACCCTCTTCTGCTACTGCCGCCTGGCGCGCCGCCTGCGCCGGCCGCCGCGCCTCGGCCGCGTCCCCAGGGCCCCGCTGCGCCTCATCTGCGCCGTCGAGGGCGCCTTCGTGGGTTCCTGGCTGCCCTTCGGCACCCTGCGCGCCGTCCTGCACCTGGCGCGCCTCGGGGCGCTGCCGCTGCCCTGCCCCCTGCTGCAGGCGCTGCGCTGGGGCCTCACGCTCGCCACCTGCCTGGCCTTCGGCCACAGCTGCGCCAACCCGCTCATCTATCTGCTGCTGGATCGCTCCTTCCGCGCCCGGGCCTGGCGCCTGGCGCACGGGCTCAGTTCGGCGTCTTCGCGCTCCGGAGACCCCAGCGCCGACGCCCGGGGCCTGGCCGAAAACGGGGTGCGAGCGCTCACGGCGAGCCCGGCCCCGGCCGGCCCCTAGCGGCTCCAGCCCGCACAGCCTCGGCCCCAGAGCCTCCTTCACCGACTGTCCCAGTGCTTCCTGAGCTCGTCCAGCCAGGCTGCTGGGACCAGCCGGTCCCTCAGCCCAGGGGGCCCCTGGACTTGCTCCAGTCCAGTAAAGGTCCTGTGAGACCGGCGGACAGCAGCTGGGACACCCACAGGCTCTCCAGGTACCGAGAGGGAAGTGAGTTCCTCTGTGCGCCATCCGAAGCAACGTCAGCCAGGATATCACACCCCAAAAGCCACTGGTCTCCAGCTGCAGTTTCTTGGGTCTGGACAATAACCATCGCCTCCTGAGAAATGCCTTCTCCAAGTCAGACCCTCGGGCCATTTCACTCTCCAAAAAATTCTCTGGACTATGGGAACGGGCAGCCATTTATACACTCGTCCTGGTAGCTGTGTGTGCTGTGTCATCAGTCGCCATCAACTCAGACTTTCATGTGCAAACTTCACCGAAGCAGTGGAAACCAGCCCCAGCGTGAGCCGTCCAGTTTTTTCACCCCGCAATTTCCCGGAAGCGCAGCCCTAGTTTAGGGTCTTCTGCCCCCATCCCCGTGGACTCACCTGCCAATTATCCTGGTCCTTCCCTGGGACAGAGGGTCCCGAAATCTCTGAGCAGGCGTTCGTTCAAATTCTCTGTCACTCAGCCAGACGCCAGCGTCTTCTGTGTGAGTTCACCTTTCTCAATAAATGCTGTTGCGAGCCCGAGCTTGGCAAGATGTCTGCCTTTACTCAAGCAGTGGGGCTGAAATGAGTGTCAGTGGGTGGCCGGACGTGGGGTCAGACAGAACTCAACCCAGTAACTGAGGTTGACCTCAGGGTGACCAGGATTCGGTGAGATGTGGAGATGGTGGGAGTTAGCTGCACCCGGAGGGCAGCAAATGGGTTATTCTTATGATTTTAAAGGACATTTCACATTTTGAGGGTTACAGAGTGGGGGCGGGGGCGGGGGAGGAAGAGGTAAGGGCATCTGCCAGCCAGGTGTCCCTTCAGAGAGGAAATGTGTCATCGTGACTTTCATGTACGCATTGGGCCTTTGTTCCTGTCCTTTGTCAGACCACCCGGTACAAGTGTTGGATTATCCATTTTCTGACTCTGTGACTTACCCTTGAGGTTTCTGGAGGGTTTGGAATTCAGTGTTTGTACTGTAGAAAAAGAATATAAATGGAGCCACTTTAAAATTGAGCAGGGGGCTGCCATCCCAAAGGAACGGCCTTCCTTGTCTTAAGCCTTAAACCTTTGGGGTGTTACAACAGGGCAGGGTAACCTCTGGCCTGGACCTAAAGCAACCTTGTGTCCCAAACAACTGTTTGCAAGGGTAACAAGATGTGACGACTGCCTGCCGGACTGAAAACTGAAAACATGGTTTAGAATCAGCGTCACTGAGTTGGCTCATCTGCCACAATAGAAATGCCTTCCTTCTGTGGGTGTCATTGTCCCCCTTCCCCTTCTCATAAGTACCCCCGGCCTTTGTCTCCTAACGGAAACGCTGTTTGGGCTTCTGCCTGAATCAGTGCTTCCCAAATGGCTAGTCTTTTTTTTCTTTTCCAAATGAACCTTTCTTGCTCCTCGCTTGGCCTCTGTTTTTAGGTTAACAGCTTTTGATTTAGGAGGATTTGGCCTAGAGGAACGGCTGGTGCGGGAAAGGGACTCAGTAATTGTCCGTGAGAACCACCCCCATGCAGACCCCGATGGGCCAGCCCTGAAGGTGTGGACCCGGTGCCCACACAGCTCAGCGCCCACCGGCTGGGTCCGAAGCCCAGCGTTCTTCCTGGTCTCACACCACTTCACCCCGCCTCACACCACTGCACTTCTCTTCAGCATTTGGGGCTGACCCCACCTGTCAGCTGCCCCTAGAGGGTCAGGCTGTCAAGAAACACAGCTGTGCATGTCCCTCCTGTTCACCTAGAGAGGGGCACGCCTGCAGCCTGTGGGGTTGGCAGTGCCAGCAGGGCAAACTCCAGACACGGTCATGTCTGAGGGCTCAGGCCCAACAGAGCCCTCCTCGCCTCACCATTGTTCTCTGACGCAAAAAACGGTTCCGTTTCCTATGGGGAGACCTCAGCTGGGCTTGTGTTGGTGAAACCTCAGCTTCCAGAACAAGGCTCTTGCTGGGCTGTCCTGACCACATCCCCGCCTTCCTCCGGCCAAGCAGCTTCCCCCGATTACTGACCAGTGAGCTCCCTGAAGACACGAAGAGGCTTCTCTGGGCCCAGGTGGGCTTTCCTGGCCCCCAGGCAGTTTGTGAGACTCAGCAATCCCCTCCCTTTGCTTAGGGAGGGCACTGAATTGGTCCCCCTTATTCTCAGAAAGGAGAGAGGACCAACGAACCCCCATTTCTCCCTGGGGGAGACAAGGCTCAGATTCGCGGGGAGCTGGCTGAGGGAGCACCCCCGCGCTCGTGGCTGGCGGGTCAGCGTGTGACATCAACCTACAGCCGGGGCTTTGAGAACGCTGGACATTGAGCTGGTCCCCGTCCAGGTCCTTTAAGGGTTGTGTTGCTCAGTGCATCACAGGGAGGGCTGTGGTGCAAATGATAAGATGTTGCTTGAAAAGAGATTGGAAACTGTTGATGATAAGTTTAAAAAGGTGAGAAAATTGCTATTAAACACCCACACACTTCAAACCTGCAGGATATAAAATAACAGCTTTGGTTTTGTTAAGCAGAACATTACTTGCCACAAAGCCCTTTGATAGAAAGTAGCTTGTGCGCCTTTTATGTCTCTCCAACAGTCAGGCGTCTGAAGTCAGCCTCCTCTCTCTCTCTCTCTCTCTCTCTCCTCCCTAAAGGGTCTGCCAAACGCCTCCCAGCCGACTCCAACATCCCTAAGGGAAGGGAGCTCGTTTCATTCCACGCTGTGTCCCCCGAGCCTGAAACAGGCACCTGGCGACGGGAGGGAAACCAGGACCACGTCATCACGTGAAATAATATGGTGTAATGTGACGAAGAAAGGAAGGATATTACAGTTTCTGCAGGTTTTAGAATGGGGCTCACAACACAGGCGGCCAGGGGAAATAGGGTGAATGTCGACTGTGATTGTGTTAGAGTAAGGGGATGATAATAGACTATTTCCCCACCTCCACTGCTTTATTCTCGAAATGTTCTATAAGCTTTTCCGTTTGTTTGTTTGTTGTTGTTTGTTTGTTTGTTTGTTTTCCAGGGCCGTTAACTAAGAGCTGCGAAACTGCTGAAGTCTGGAGCCAAACCCAGGCGGGGTCCTGGCTGGGGCTGGTCACAGCTGCCTGTCCCAGGGCCCCCAGGGGAGCTTCCTGCAGACTCCCTTTCCTCACCAAGGGTGATGGTGATTACATCTGCCCAGGCTTCCTCCCAGATCAAAGGAATCGTGTTCCTGAAAGTACTCTGCGAGCCGAGCTGTGGTGTAGACACACACAGAGCCAGGATACCCGATGTAGACAAGACACAGCCAGGAGCCACCCTCAGGACTGTCTCAGTCCAGACCTGCTGCCTGGGGGTGGGGGTGGGGTGGGGGGGGTCTGGTTTTCTCAAAGGTCAGCACCTGGGCACAGGCTGGGCACGCTGGGCGTGTGTATTTCTGATTTGGTTCTTGTGACTAATTCTGGGCTTCCTTCTCACCTCCCTCGACCCCGTCCATGGCTCTTTCTCAGGGCACAGTGTGGGAACCGGGGCCCTGGAGTGATGAGTGATCTGGGGAGTTCAGAAGAATGGCAAGCTGGCGAAGACACTCGGTGATATGACTCAGTGCCCCATGTCACCCTGGGGGCAAGCGAGGCCTCTGGACACCAGTGAGGCCATCTCCTTTGTTAGAGGACCTCAGGTCCGAATCCCTGCCTGGCTTGGCTTGGTGGTCTGCAGGGAGCTCCCTACCACCCTGCACCCCCCCCCCATCGAGCCCCCAGCCTCAGTCAAGTGGGGCAAATGATGGAAAGGCCCACAGCAGGAGACCCGGGAATGCCTGGTGGGTGAGAGGAAAGCAGGGGCAAAGATGTGAAATCACCCTGCCTCCCTCCTCATTGTCATCGAAGCCAGAAGGTATTTATTGAGAGTGTAATTACATCCTCCTGAGAGTGGGCACCACATGAGTCACGGCTACGCACATCACAGGATGTCAGAGCTGGAAGCCACTTTGTCCACACCAAGGACACTGGGGACCAGAGATAGGAGGTCGCCTGCTCAAGGTCATGATAGCAGCACAGCGCACGTTTATGAAGCACATACACGTGGTTCTGGCCCGTCTCATGACCCTGTGGCAAGCAGGCACGGTACGATGGCTTCCTTTACTGATGATGAAACAGGGTCGGGAGGCAAGTGGCTTTGTCAAGGCCACAGAGGAGCGAACAGTGCAATCAAACCTTTGTCTCTCCCTTTCGCCTTCTCTTGTGCCTGCCACGTCCTCCTGTGGGACGCCAGAGACGCTGTCTCCATTCTGAACCCAGCTCACCACCACCATCACCCCCACGCCTTGCCCCAGGCTCCTCTGATTAGTAAAGTAACACTGTTTTTTTTTTTTAAGTGGAAATTACAGGACAATATAAAAGGAAATAGGAAAAACACACATTATCCCACCATGGAGAGATAGCTTAGAGTATTTTTCTGTGTGTACAATCATACACGTGTGTACAATCTTCTCCAGCTGAATTGGGGTCACTGTACGTGAGACCAAGGAGTGAGCCAGTCGTGTTTTCAGCCCTGGCACACAGCCGGCACTCGGTAATTCTCTGTTGACTGTATATTATACACATTCCTTTTGCAGCCTTTCTTCACTTCACAATGTGCCTTACTTTGCCATATCATTAGAGATTATTCAAAATGCATTTTAAGCCTATATTGCATCATTATATGAAATGTCACCTCATTTATTTAACCAAGCCTCTAAACTTTCTTTTTTTCTTCTTCTATTTTTCACTCTTATAAATAATTCTGTAATGAACACCCTTGTACAAAAATCTTTCTGTCCATTTCTGCTTCTTTCTTCAGGACAACTTCCTAGAAGCAAAGTTATTCATCAAAGATCACGAATGAGGCGTGGGTACCTTGTGCCCAATTGTTGGAAAACGTCCGTTCTCTCCAGAGGTGTAGG